CTGCTGTGTTTGGCTGTTTGTCATGTGACTGCAGTGGAGGATTGTGGGTAGGATTCATGTTTGTTGTTGTTGTTAAATCATTTTAGGGAACTGATTAACATTGTTCTTTCAGTAATTAGTCTGTTGTGTTACTCTAATTTGTGTGTTCATTATTTGTTAACTTGTGTTAAAGCGTTCAGCAGAAGTAACCATAAGTGAGAGTGGTAGGCCTGGTCATTAATAAGACCTGTGAGTTTCACTTTGTGTTGTTCATGAAGAAGAATCCAATAAAGGTTCTTCAAAACTGCCACCTGGTGGTGAAGTCTTGAACTACAACATGAGCTACACCTCTCTGTAGCTGTGAGTTGTCATGCTACAATATTGTGCTCGACACATGTACACTGTAATAAATAACTTGTAAGATTTGCTAGAAAAAAATCCTCGTAACAATTTGCACTAACGTTTAAGTAAATTTAAATGCTATAAATTCATGTAATATTTACTCATCATTATCTAGTACAGTGGTTCCCGAACTTTTTATCTTCTGACTCACAAAATATTCATTACAAAAACTTGTGACCCCAAACATTACTGGTCTGAGTACACAAACTTTGTTAATAACCCTAAAAACAAAGGCTACACAAATATAAATACTTATTCATACTTGTTTTGTGTTTTTGTAATAATTATAGGGAAAATATTACATCACTGATTGTTTTATTGATTTCTGAAGTGCAGTGGTTCCAAAACTTTTCTTTTGACCCACAAAATTACAGTAGCAGAGACCTGTGCCCACAACTATTTTTTGGATGATAAACATTTGTATCAGGTCAACTAAACATGGGCATAGTAACAATATTTATTATTCCACATTTATACATTTTAGGCAACTAAGGCAAAAAAATGTAATTAATTTAGAAAATCTTTTCAGGACCCCACCTTGATATTTCAGGACCCCACTTTGGGTCCCAACCCCAACTTTGGGAACCACTAATCTAGTAAAAGTTATTAAGAATATAGTTAAATATTTGTGAATAAATCAGGTAAATGTAACTTAATTTGATCAAGTATAGATTTAAATTGAGCAAACTAAGTAACATTTACCTGATTTATTCACAAATCTTTAACCATATTCTTAATAACTTTTACTGGATAACGATAAGAGTAAATATTACAAGAATTTGTAGCATTTAAATTTACTTAACAAACGATAGTGCAAATTTGTTACTGGATTTTTTTCAAATACATCTTACAAGTTTTTTTTTCAGTGTACTTTCCACACAACTCTTTCACAAATGGGCAAAAAAGTCATTTTTGACACACGAGTGAGTGTTCCCTCAAATGTCCTGGACCTAAAACTATCTTCAGATTGATTCAACAGCTCTGACAAACATTAACAGCTTGGTATATTTAGCAATTTCCTTGATAGGAAAAACTAGAACAGTCTGCTGTCATCTCAAACACTGTAAAGCCTTTGTTTCGACACTGCGAGTGAGGCTTTATGACAGCGCTAGTTTTTATTAAGGAGCTAAATATAGTGAAGAAAACTGTCGTTGTCACGTGGAGTTCAATCTTTTCAGCTCTACAGTCGTGAAAGAAGGCCTCATTCGAAGACTTTTGTATTTTTGCAGGGATTCAAAGGAACTAATGAAGCCAAATATCAGCTGTGTTTTCTCATGTGGCAACACTACAGCAGTGTGTGTGGGAGAGCAAAGGCAACATTATCAATGAGGAAACTGGAAACAAGTTTAGAGCTGTTACTGCCACCTACATGCACTCTGTCAGGATTTATACTTGTTTTTTCCACACAAACCTGCACCAGATTTAATGTTAATCAGGGAAAGTTTCAGAAATGAAGCATCACAAGTTTTCTGCTGATGTCAGGAAAACCTGCTGTTTTTTTCAGCTTCACTTTAGTTTAAAACATGAAACATTTCAGCTCCTCTGTTGTTTAGTAAAGCTCAGATGTGTGTCTGAGAGGTCCTCCTGATGGCCCCTCCAGTGGCCTTTATGGCAGGTGTTTGGGG